GGTCTTCATAAAAAGTCTTGGTCTTATTAATGAATTTATAAGTTAGTGTTGTAAATTTGATGCCATGAAATCCTTTCACATTAATGACATACATTTATCAATTTTACCTGAAGGTATTTCTATACATTTTGTTTTGAAAAGCTCCCACTGCTCTCAAAAACTGAAAATTTCTAGTCTACATTGAAAATGGAGTAAACATCTTGTTTATCATTTGTATTATAATGCTCTTGCCTTGGATTCAATTATTTATATTTTAGTAAAAATAGTTAATTCTGCCACTTCTAATTTACAGTGTATTAATTTGAACACATGGATTTACGGTTTTAACAACATCTGCAATAGTATGTTTGTTAAACATTTTGATAAAGTAAACAATGTTACCTAAGAGAAAATATTTTCAAGTCCTTTGCTACTTATTGTCTGTTGACATATAAGTAGAAAATGTTTATTAGAAATGAATCTCATTTGTTCATTAAAGCTGTTTCACAAGTTTGATATTCAGACCTAATAATGTAGACACATCGAATTAAGGAATCATCAGAGTGATAAAATCAGAATTTCTGGGTTGTTACATAACTTATGGTCAGCCAACCTAAGTACTCATTTAGTGGTTCAGCACCTATTAAGGCAAGGTACAGAGCTCTTTGTTTAACACAAGAAAGTGTGAGTGGTCTTTGCTCTCAATGAACTTAGATAGGGAAAGTGAGATATAAACATGTGAAATTTAACTAAAATGCTTTAAATCATAGCTTAAGACTTACTAGCTTTAAGACTACTAAAAATGATGGCCTAAGAGACCATAATATTAACTGCCAAAACAATTACCCAAGCTAATTAATCTTTTCAGAGGAAGCTATCCAATCTATCCCGCAGGTTGTTATATGGAAGAGAGTTCTATATACTTTCTTTAAAACTGCAGTACATCCTTTTGGATAATTCAACTCAGGTCTCTCTTAATGTAGAGATGTTGGTGGCATTTCTGTATAGAGCATTCCTTGAGATACAATGTATATTTCATTATATTGTATTAGAATCTAAACCTGTTCAAAATAATGTTAGACTCTCAGGTGTAAGATCTTTTTCGGTTCATGTGGCAAGAAGAGCAAGGAAAATGTAACTAATATAGGAGAAGAAATAGGGGGAAAAAAGAGTAATAAACTGAAGCTTTCTAATTTTTGTGGATCACAGGTAAAGTCTAAGTTTTAAAGTACCGTGTTGTTGTAAATAATTGGAAACGAAGCTATAGCAGTTGTGTTGGGGCTGGGGTAGATAATGATTTTTCTAGTCAAAGGTTTTGAGCTCAGAATCTTCCATCCTTTGCTCTTTTTTTTCTAATTAGTAAATTAAGAGAAACGGCTTCTCTTTCTCTCTTTCTGTTCCACTTTTCCCATCATTCACTCTGCCAAAAGAAATTTCCCTAGTTTATTGGTAGAAGTTTTTATTGCCACTACTTTCTGTACTGTGTTAAGTTCTCCTCCAAAGAATGTGACACTGAGACTCTTTCCCCCTTTTATATCTTTTCAAACACCACTATCTTGTGTTGTTTCCTGCAGTTTTCTATTGCAATAGAAAACAATTGCAATAGAAATAGTTTCATGACTATTTCTTTTTACTGCAAAGGAATATGAGAGTTGAAACTATAATTGGATTAAGAAAGTTGCAGTTATGGATTATGCAGTTACTGATTCTATCTCAGCTTTGCAAGCTAAACCTGCAATCCAGCCGTGTCCTCCTCTCTATTTTGTTCATTAAATACTCTATGGTGAATCCACTTTTAACCCACACTTCCAACATTTCAACTCTCTGTATTAAGGGATTTAAGAAATTATCCTTCAAAACACACACACACATGCTACTATGTAGTCTTAGAGATGTAAAGAAATACATTGCCTAGTCCATCTTTTAAAATATAAAATTGGATGAGAAAATTCAGACTCAGAGAGATAATGATTATAGAGAGTAGTAGTACTGAGCGGAAGCAAAAGTCACCTGGCTCCAAATTCAGTGCTCATCCTTATTCCTTTTGTCATCAAAAGAATTTTCCTTTCCCTATAGTACTAAATTATATAAACTCCAATAATTATTCTAGAAAAACTTCACCACTCTAGCCTGAAATGAGATTTTCCAGAGCTTGGTATCAACTCAGATAGTCTGGTATTTGGGGATTCTTTGGAGAAATAGAAAATTAAAGCCAGATATAAATAGCCGTTTTTAATTATTTTTTTTAAAGTGTACTTGATCCCATAGTAGGTTGTTCTGAGATTAGAACTCAACATTTCTGAATCATTAATAACTAGAAGCATGGATAAAAACATTTTTCTAAAATTTTCATATTCTTGTCTACCTGGTTCTGGAGTGGAGGCAGGAACTTGGCAAATACAAATATATTCTTGCTGCAGGTGTATTCATCATTGGGCCAGGCACACTTTCCCTCATTCCTTTATCATAGTACATAACATGGTTGTTCAGGAAAACAAATCCTTCTTTCCTTTTCTTCCTTATTATAACTTCCCTTTCCCACCAGCTCTTGCTTTTGCACCTGCCCTGCCATTTCTTAAATGCCAGCATGATTAATGAGTGCCAGAGGCAGCAGATGGGAAGGTATGCTTTCCCTGTCTGCACTCTTAACATTAGCCAGTAGGAATTCTTGTTCCTTCCCATAACACTCCACTCAGTTGATCACCAAACCGTCAGATACAATGTGAGAGGCATTTGGTACTTGTTCTATATAAAGATCTGAATCAGTGATTACCCAAGGTTTAGATGAAAACAGTACAGTGTTTGTGAATTCACTTACCAATCTCACTTACACCTCAGTCATGACAGTACATTTGAGCTCCACCCATGATACAGTGCACCCATAGCTCACCTCCTAAGTTTTTCCCCACACTTGGCCATTGGAACTTTATTAGAGATGATAATAAAATTTTGTAGTATATCTACCCTAATCCTGACCTTAAAATTAGCTTCATCATGTGATAGGCCATATTAATTTCCTACTGGATTCATAAAGGAATCCTTTCTTCCAATTGTGTGAAGGAGCTCTGAATTATGGTAGTCATTCCTTTCCTGATGCAGTTCCCAATTATTCAGGGACTTATTTTCAAGTCAGGGAATCAGTGGGCTCTTTAGATTTTTTCCCCCCTTTCTACAGTAGCTTTCCTTTTGGTCTTTTTGCTGCTCATTGGAACCCCTCAGTATGTGGCCAGGGAAAAAAGATGTGAAAATCAATTCTATTTTGCTGGTAGTGGATAAGAAAATAAGCTATTGTGACAATGGAGAGAATATGGAAGCTCCTGGCTGTAATGAAGCTTATGGATTATCTGCACATTGGTTAGGATCATCTTACAGCTGTGGAAACTGGGTCTAGTCTATGTAGAAAAAAAATTTCACTTTCGAGCTCATCTTCACTGGTTTTTGAAATTATAAAAGCAGTGGTAATACAAATCCAAGAATCATGTATAGGCATGAAATAAGAATAAACTCTCTCTTTCCCTCTCCCATAGTGTCACTTTAAAGACACTTGTGGATACTTTTGTTTTCAGATTTCTATTAGTAATCTGCATTACTACAAATAATATATCTCGGCTTTTTTTTTAGCAACTTTAAACAGTTATGTGTTACCTATCAACTATAAAAGATGAAGAGTTTAGCACCTTGATAATATCCTGTTCCCTTCCCTCTTGGTTCATATTTTAATTTTTTTAGCTCTTCAATTGGTTACCTTTATAACTTTAAACAGTAGATTTAAAGACATATCAGCTCTATTATCTATCTGTCTATCTATCTATCTATCTATCTATCTAATCTATCTATCATCTATAATATCTATCAAATTATCTATCCAGCTGTCTATCTAATAGCTACCTACCTAGGTCTATTATAGACACTATTTTTGACTCTTTATCATGCAAGGTAAAATATAAGTGTTCATTATATATCTATTCTTTGGTTTTTGGGATGATTAATTGTACAAATTGGAATCACATACATTGTATAAATATTATTCACTGAATAAAAGCAGTATGAATGGACCTGTGAGAAGGTAATGTTTTCTTTGGGTCAAAAGCCAAAGAAATTCCTCCCGAAAAAGAATGTTTCTTGGAGGAACATCAATAGCTCAAAATACTGTCTCATCTTTGTTTACTTCAGATATGTGCTATGACTTTTATACTTTCATATAGGCTTCTTTTAAAATTTTTAACTGTTTTTATTTTTTATTGTTGCTAAAATAACCATATAATATTACTTTATCCCCAAATTTCCTGTGTATACTGCTTGTTACAAAGAATAAGTTTTCTTTGTGAAAACATATTTTTCAGAGTCCTCTAACTACCTGTTCTGATTTGGCTAACCTACCTTTCAGCCTTATTTCTCAGTAGCCACGCCAGGATTTTCCTCTCCTTGCACCCCTGGATTAGAGTCATAGTTCTGGAAGCTTATGTAGTATTCTTTCCTACATTTTCTTTCCGTTGGCTATAGTACTTTCACAAATAGTATTTATGAGAAATGATAAAAGGTTAGAAATATTTGCACACCTAAAAGTATTCTGACAGATGTAACATTTTTGAATGACCAGGGATAAATGCCTCTACTGTACTCAGGGACAGAACCTGGAAGCCAGGCATGTTAAATCAAGTTTAGCCTAAACTACCTCCTTGCCTACTTTAAGTTCAGCATAATGGTTTCTGTGTACATTGTGAACTATAATAAGTGAAGATGTAAACAGAATGTAGCATACACTCGTGCCTTGAGTTTTGGCCAATCAAATGTAGACAATTGTTCAAACCATGTTCAAATAAGGCAAACACTGAGCTGTAACCAATCCACCTGTTTCTGTACCTCACTTCTGTTTTCTGTAGGTCATTTCCTTTTTCTGTCCATAAATATTCTTCTACCATGTAGTTGCACTGGAGTCGCGAAGCCTGTTGCCCAATTTGCAAATCATTCATCGCTCAATTAATTAGATTTAATTCAGCTGAAGTTTTTTCTTTTATCAGATGGCATCAGATGTGGGATCCGAAGTAGAGCTTCTAACAACCCACAGGAGCACGGAGTGACCAAGTGAGGTACCTGCAGGACCCATTGGTGTTCATCGATCTCTCGGAGCAGCTGGGGATCATGGTAAGTTGTCTCTCAGATTTTGGAGCTCCACAGATTTGTGTTTTGAGCTTTCTGAGTTTCTTTGAACAAATTTCTGATCCAAATTGGATTTGGAAGTCGCAACAGAAACTGGACTGGGTTCGGGATTGGATTTGATCTAGTAAATAACTGGCTTGGATCCAGTTAGGAACCTCTTACATCTGACGGGGAAGAAAGAAACTGGGAGTAAATAGTAATATTACAGGGGGTATGAAATTTAGCTTTTGGAAACTCCGGGGCATTTTGGTGTTCTATCCGTTCATTTTATTTTTCTTGCTTGCATAGGTAGGAAAAAGTCCTGGGTTATCTTAATCAGGGGAACCTGAGAGCAAAGCCAATATCTGAGGTAAAAAGGGATTCTTAAATTCTGAAAAACTGAGTTCCTTCCAGCTTATACATGCATATGTGTTAGGCCCTAAAAGGAGCAAAGTCTTACAGAAATGGAAAAATCTGACTAAAGATATCTTACAATGGAACATTCCAAAAGAAAAACAATGAACTAAAGTGCATCTGAAAATGAGGGCTCCCAAATTAGTCTCATCTAGGGATGCCTATTGATATGTAGAAGCTTCTAAAAAGATTTTAATCTTTTTATTTAAAGACTGACGAAAGGAAAATAAAAAGCCTAAGTGACTAATTGATTAAAACAATTAATTCTGCTAACTTTTTAGCTTAGTTACTACCCTAATCCAAAGGAAATAGACTGAAGTACCTATTGGCTGACTTTGAGTAAGTAATGGTGTACATTTTACCTTGGTAAAGGATGGAACTGAGGCCCTCGCCTCAGTAAAGTCCCTCTTGGATAAAATGGATTTGACATCATGGGATGTTAACCCCTATTCTTTTTACATTAATCTGCCTTGCGCTGTTTGCTGACAGCAGTGGATGGCAGGATTAAGCATGTACAGGACCACAGAACACGGAGGACTTCTTCTCCCCAAAGGGAAAAACTTGAGAGCTGATGGGACTGCTGGAAAAGATCCCTTTGCAACCGACAAGTGGCTGCCTAAACTTTTGATTCAGTATCACTGCAATGGATGGGTCTTTCTCTGGCCTCTCTGAGCTCTTCCTTCCCCACCCTGCCACAGGCAATGCTGCTCTCTCTGTTGCTCTCTGCACAAACCAGATGTGGGAACAGTAAAAGTCATCAACTTTTGCAAAGTTTTAATTAATGAGAAAAAGGATTCTTGAGGCTAATCTTAAGCTATAGCAAATCTGGTGTGCTTTGTGCTATGAATTTTTCTTTCTGTGTTGCTCCATCATGAAGTGGGATACCTTAGGATAGAACATGGGCTTAGGACCACAAAAGCTTTCTGTTCAAGATGGCCCAGCAAGCTGGTCAGTAACAGACTTTGCTGTAGAGGTCCCTGAAAGAAACAAAAAACTGGATGAGGTCTCCATCTTGTTTTATGTCCTTGGGAGCTTGGCATTATAACCACGTGGTGGTACTTTCTGTTTGTTTCTGCCATCTGGGGGACAGGAATTTGGAGATTCATTTTATAGTTAGCTCTAAAAATTATCTTGATCATTAAAATCTATTGCAAGCACAAAATTGACTGCTCTAGGCTCCTGGGAAGAGCAATGGAAACTGCCTAGTGCTGTAGCTTAATAGCTAAGGTTTTGTCTTTTCACAGTGATGGCCTGGGTTCAGGGTTCAGTTTCTGGCTTTAAGAATGAATCCTTTCTGGTTTGCTGTCTTCATGACCTTTACCATTTGTTGATTCTCTTCCCCTCCATGAACCGTCTTGAATTTTTTTTTCTGTGAGCTACCTTTGGAGAGTCTAGATCTTCTAAAACTGCTAACTACCTCTTTAAAAATACCTGATACACTTGTAGTTAAGTTATAACCTTCATTGAGGCTTGTAACTTTCACCTGTGAGATTAGCTTTGGTAAAGTTTAAAAGCCAGAAATATTGGTCATTTGGCCCAGCTAAAGTAGAGTAATAACAAATTTAAAAAGGCTTTTTTTTTTTTTTCAGAGAGCATTATGGTTAAAAGTCAGCTTAATTAAAAGTGGATATTCAAGCTATACATACATTTTAAAAGGGTCTTTACATTTTTCTCTTCTTAAATCTTGTTTTCCTGGGAAAAAGATTTTTTCTTCTCATCTGGCTGAATTGTTTTCCTCCATTATGTTTTACTACTCTTAATGCATGCATGAGAGGATTTAAGATATCTTCTATTAGCCTAGGATAAAACAGAAGAGGGACTATAGATCCTGTTTTGGGAAAAACCCCTGTTTTCTTCATGAAACTCCAGGAATTGAAAGTGGATAGATCCCAATCAAAATCTAAGGCTCTGTTCTGTTTTGCATTGTTTTATCTGATGGTTTTGAGTTTTGATAGAATCAGAAATTACTTTGTGTAATGAGAGAGCTTTGGTGCATATAACCAGGGGGAGGAAATATACCGTTAAGGATGGCTAATGATAGTTATGAAGGAATACTTGATTCTTTGCACCTTTGGATCAAAGAGGCATGCTCTTGGCCACCTAGAAGCCATGTAAATGTCCCCACCCACACTGAGGTAAGACTCCCATGGAGGATGGCTTAATCACAAGGTGGGCTGGTCAACTTTGGGTTGCTTTGCAATAAAATGCATGGCAAAGGATTGCACCGTCTTCTCCCATAGCATTTCCCTACTTTTGGGGATCCAGGATGAAATATAAAAATGGAACCCTTAATTTTGGGGATCCGTTTTTGCCTTCCAGCTGTGCCTGCTTATTAGGCCCTATAAAATACATGTGTTCCTAGCCCAGTTGCTCTAAGAGTCCACCCTAAAGCCAGTAAACCAATTAAGAAACTTAAAAACTGGCAAATGAAGAATCCTAAAACTACTGGATCTTCTGTCTGAGTTTGGAGTTATATATTTGTTGTATGTGTGATGTTTATATAAAGAGCTCTAATTAATTGGCTTAAAGAAAAATAAGCACTTAAATAAAATATTTTCTTAGAAAAATAAAAACTGTAATGCTTTTTAGTTCATATGGCTTTACTAATATTTGGGAAATAAAAACAGCTTTAAAGATTATTGGTAAAATGAAGACATTTGGTCTAAATTAGGCAGGTCAGATATTAGATTTGCTAAATGCTTTAAGGTCATAAACTGCTTCTTTGGCTTTTGAACATTGTTCAACTTGTTCAATGTGCCTGTTTATAGCTAGGTAAGGCCTGGGGACATGTGAAATTAGCCATGTCCCTAGCTATGCTGGAAAGAGTCAGACCTTATTTGCACTTCTGTCTGGTATTCTAGGCTCTAAACTCAGTACATACTTAAAGTCGCTTGCTAACCAGATTTTTCACCAAAAGATGCTAAGAGTTAACAAAATAACATGTACTTGAAACTACTGAAGAAACACTTTTACTTGCAAGGTATGTAAAGAAAATAAAATGTACTTTCAGTAAAGGATTATAAGAAGGCATGGGGAATGTAAATTTTTGCTTAGTCTAGAGGGTTCAAGGATTGTTTTAAATTAGATAGGATAAAACTGAGCAAATTGTTAAAGATTTGTGAAAAATTAATCTTGTAAAAAATTCTATGTGAAACTAGGGCTAAGTTTAAAGGGGTGTTATTCAGTTTTTCTATAAATTGAACATTAGAATAAAGCACAACAGGGTTTTCTTTGAGCACTGATTTGCTCCTTAACAAAAATTTGTAAAGGGTTATAAAAGGTTTATGAGAATCTCATCTTATGGTCAAACTGATTAAGATTGGATTGATTTGTCTATAAGTTTTTATTAAAGATTAAGGTTGACATTAATAGTACATTAATGCAAGGGTAAAATTTGTCTTTCTGTCTCAAACAAGATTTCATGTAATATTAAAGGATAATGAAAGATTTTTGTTTGCCTTTTGAATAAACTACAAAAAAAAGAAGGGAAAGATAAAAGACAGATGGTTTGGGAAGCTAAGTCTTCCCTCTGTCAGTGAGCAAAAGGCTTTTTTGCATTTTTAAAATTTTTGAGTCATCATTTTGGCTAAAAGAGTGACTTATGGTGATCTTGAATTCTATTTCATAATATTAAGTGTTTTAAACCTTTAAATTTGATAGGCTTCCCAAAATCAAGTTTCAGCTTTAAAATTGTCTTTTCTGATCTCTTATTTTGGGATGCTACAGAGGCCCCCTGAAGCACCCAAAAGAGAGGTAAACAGGATTATTTGACATGTTAAATTACATGGAAAACATTGTCAAAATAAAAAATAATGTTTCACCTTATTCAGGTGTATGTTAGTGAATAATGTTAATATATGTTCCAGAATTCTATGAGATTTCTAAAATTCTAACATGTCTGGCTATATGCTATCAATCGTAATAATGGTCATTATGTTAAATTATTGTGAGCCACAGGAACAACTAAATTTCCTTGTCAATTGTGTCTTTAACTATGACTATTCAAAATGGTTTCCACAGTTAACTGCTTAATGCTGATGAAGTTTCTGAAAACTTCACAAGCACCCAAAATCCTAGAATATGGTATCTTTTAGGAGGTTCATGAAAAAATGGAAAGGACCTTGAAAAGTTCTCATGAACACAGGTTTCTGATGACTTTAGAATCATATCGTATAGACCGGGTAAGAATTCCTGGAACTTTAATGAAAAGACTGGTTTGTAAAATTGCTGACCCGTGTAGAACAAAAATTAATTGAATATCAAGAAAATATTTTGCCAGATTTTCATGCTAAATCAGCCAGTACTGAAGTGGTTTTGATATAGAATTTGAATGAACTCTGTGGTGTAAGTCAAATTACTTGTGATAACCCATCCATTATCAGTGCTATGCACCCAAATTGGAGAAACAACTGATATTCAAAAGGACATGAGTCTATTGTTAACTAAACATGGACTCATGGAGAACCAGGATGACCTCCTTGTTTTTCCTGAGTCCTTAAAGCTTTTGTTATTAAAAGTTCTGCATTTTATAACACATCATAGAAAAGATTAAGTGATCCAAATTAAATATATATTGGTTTGGTGACTTCTAAATTGCTAAAATAGTTTATGACCAATGTTTGGTTTGTCAAACCCATATTCCTGGGAAGATAATCAAATCTTCAGGTACACACAGCTATCTGATGGGCCATTTAAACATTTATAGAGGAATTCCATTCAATTGTCATTTTTAGTGCCTGTTTTCTGTATTACAGATTTCCCTTGCAAGAGGACTGATATTATTGCACTAGATTATTATGCCACAGTGTATTTTCATGAGGTAAAGAAAGCTTTTTATGGTTCACTGACTGAGGACTGTCAACCCTTTCACAATCTAGAACCCAAAGATTAAATTTTCTGAGATGATCAGAGAGAGACTGCCCTTGCCATTCACACTGCAGCAGAACTTCAAGATGTGAACCTTGAGTTCATAATCTCACAACTGAGAAGGGTCCCTCCACACTCTTGGAATTGTACACCCATTGGAACCCTTAAGGTAAAGCTAACTAGGGAAGCTTCTCCCCAGAAAAAATGGCTTTTTTGATGGAAAGTGCTTTTTCCAAGATCACATATCAAGACTTCTCTACTATCATGAGACTCTTATCTTCGAATATTTTTCCCTTGCTTATCCCTCTATGAACAATAGTAGTGAAAAGGGACTCTGTTGCATGTTCTTATGGGGCATAATTTTGTTAGAAGGATTTTGCAGCCAGCCTTATACATGGATAATCTTATAGCTTAATAGATGAAAGATGAAGACCCAATGTAGGTGAGAAACGTTAATGGTACATACATTGCCTCATAATCAGTCAGAAACAGAACATTGTTCACTCCTCTTAACTCACCTCATGAGTTAAAGAGAACATTTCCAGGAGGCCTTCACTCTTCTAGAAGGTCATCATTCATTAGCTCCTTTTTCTGTGATTTGAAATAAACAATGATTAGAAATATATCCCTCATGATACTCTCTATTGCAGATTCTACTGTAAAGGCTATGGTTACACAAAAGACTTTAATTTCTCTTCTGAAAGTTACGCTAAACAATAGGGTTGACTAAATAGATGGGTGCAGTGGCTCACGCCTGTAATCCTAGCACTTTGGGAGGCTGAGGTGGGTGGATCACCTGAGGTCAGGAGTTCAAGAATTGACTAAATATAAAAGTATCTGTGCAGGTGCCAGCAATTGCAGCCTATGGAGAAATAGAAATACATCAAATGTAGGTTATAGAGATTCAGTTGTAGGGAATTAACAAAGAGACTGCTTAGTTAAGTGAGTAGACTCTTCATATAGTTCAATTTTTGATCTATTTGACTTTAGGTGGTTTGGCTTATTGGGGACCCTGGGTAAGGAGCATATTCCAAACTCTTGGTACTATCCTCCTGATAGTCATAATAGTAGTCTCCCTGGTGGGCTGTGTTGTCTCAAAAGTTTTATGTGTCTGCATAAGGCTATCTCTAGAATGTCAAATGGTCTCTCTTCAACTGGAATGGCAAGAATTGAAAGAAATGCATGATCATGAGGACATGGTAACCTATGAATGACATGCTGAGACCAGAAACCCAAAATGATGGTAACTGAGAGTAGTGCTACGACCTTAAGGTCACACTCTCACCTAAGTGAGAACCTTACCAATAAGGGGGAATTTTTTTAACAAAATTATGGGAAGCCATTGTTTTGGATTGGATGCATGCACTAGGCCCCAGCAGACCAAACCAAAATGGATTCAGTCATGCTAAATGTGACATAATCAAACTAAAACTTAGGAAACACAGAGATCCTAGAACAGACCAGGTTTTGTTTCTCCTGTAAACAGACCACTCCAGCATAAGGAGGTAAACCTCTACTCAGTCCTTGTTCCCATCTTGCAAAACTCACTGTTCTACTCTTTCCCAGTGGGTTTCAAGACCAATGGTGATAGTGACATCAATGACTAATGTTTTGGTAATCCCTCCAATTTTAGAAGATGACCAAGCCTAAACTGCCTCCTTGCATATTTTAAGTTCAGCCTAAAGGTTTTCTGTGCAACATGAACTATAACAAGTGGAGGTGTAAATAGACCATAGCCTACACTTGTGCCAATCACTGAGTTTTGGCCAACCATATTCAAATAAGGCAAACACTGAGCTGTACCCAATCCAGTTGTTTCTGTATCTTGATTCTGTTTTCTGTACATCACTTTCCTTTTTCTCTCCATAAATCTTCTTCCACCATGTGGCTGCATTGGAGTCTCTGAGCTTACTCTGGCTGGGGGCTGCCTGATCTACAAATCGTTCATTGCTCAATTAAACTCCTTTAAATGTAATTTGGCTGCAGTTTTTCTTCTACAGGGCATTAATTTCATCACTATTCTCTAGGGAGATTATCATTTTTATTTTTGCCTTACTTCCAATGCTTAATTAGTATACAATTGAATTGTCCTTAAAGGTTCTGAATTCTACTAGATCCTACCTGGGTACTAGCATTTTCCTGTTAGTGTTTCAACACTGGTTTCCTCCACGTTGATATATCCATCAATATGGTTATATTGACCCTGTGATGCCTCTTCATTTAGGTTTAGATTAGTTTTCTCAACTTAGTCTATGCATTGCAGTCACCAGAGGAGCTTTATAATACACTGCTACCTGGACTCCCTTCCCAGAGATTCTTAATTCTGAGAGCAGCCTGGCTAAAAAAGCCAAGGTGCAGCCAAGATTGAAAATGTTAGCCTAGAGAAACTCTAAAATCTAAGATGTCAATGGGGAAGCAGCATGAAGTCTTGGTTACAACCTCTATGGCTAAATTGCCTGGGTTTAAATCCAAGCTCTACCATTTAATATCTGTGTGACCACAGGCAACCACATTTCTCTTGCATCAGATTTAATTGGGGTATAATTCTAATTTATTTGTAAGTTGAGGTATCTACAGATTGAGTTATAATCATAATAATGATTCATATGGTTGTCATATGGATTCAATAAATTAATATTAGATAATACTTAAACCATAATGTTATAGAAATATAAAGTAAATAAATGGACCAGCTACAGAACATTATTCGAATCTCTTAAATTCTTAGCTTCTCACTTTCCAACACTTTGAACCCTGCCTTTTCTCTGAGTCCATCATTCCATCCATGGTTTTGTTTACTTTTGGAATATTCTAGACTCCATAGTCCATCATTTAGTTCCTTTTTTGCCAGCATTCTCAATTTCCTACCTCTGTGGTCATTCTGATGATGGAAATCACCCATTGAATTATTCCTCAATTTTGCATCTCCACTCCTCATTTGGACTGTTGAATGCTGTTGAGACTAAGATATCATTACACATTTATGGGCTAGGGCCATTACGGGTTCTCAGCACTACTCTGAATTTTGTCATGTGTCCCTGGCAGAATCTTCCATTCCTCGCAGTGATTTCTCCAAACCCCTTTTTTCTCTACAAACTGTTTATTGAGTTTCTTTTCCATCTCAGAAAACAACTTTGCCTCCCACTTCTTTAAAAAGTTAGAGATGACTTATTTGCCTTTTTACAGATAGATAAGAGATTTGCTTGGACCCGGGAGGTGGAGGTTGCCATGAGCCAAGATCACACCACTGCACTCCAGCCTGGTGACAGAGTGAGACTCTGTCTCAAAAAAAAGAAAAAAAGCTTCTCTTTGGCTTCTGAAATTTTTCCTTTTGGTTCTCCTTCTATGATATTTCTTTCCATTCTTCTCTGTGGAATTATTTTCTTTTGTCCACTCATTTAGGATTGATGTGTCACAATTATGACCTTGGCTTTCTAATCCTGGGTGTCCCCCCTACTACTTACATTCTGAAACGATTGTGTCTAAACTATGGTTCTGCTGCCTAGAACTCACCCTGATCTCTACTTCTTGAACTACAACTGCCCAATAGAGCTTTTCCACCTGGAAGTCCTAAGGAATCTCTAAAACTGAATTCACTTTCTTCTCCCCAATTTTGTTTTCCTTCAAGTACTACTGACTTTAGTAATTAGTGAATGGTTATGTTAATGACTGACTTCCTGGACAAAAATCTAGGAATCACTGCTGATACCATCCTCACGTTCACATCATAGTTTAGATAAGCTCCAAGTCTAGTTGCTTCAACTTCTACGCCCTCTTTTATCTGCCCCTACATCCCAATACCAATCTGCATTATTATTGGATTATCTCAGAATTTGTTCTTTTATTCAAGCTTACTATAATTGTCTCCTAGTTTATTTTCCCATCTTTCTCCTTATTTCTTCTAATCTACTCTTCACAATAGAATTCTTTGCAAAACTCATGTAAAAGGAAATGTTTATGTGTTTTTAAAATGATGATTAAACTTGTTTTCCCTTTTGCTTGATACCATTATAAAAAGTGATTTGACCCACTCTGTAGGAAAGGATGAGACCATTTCATCTCCTAGGGAATGGAGACCAAGCAATTATGCTTCTTGAAGATACAGTCCATCCTTCACTGAAGGAAAGAAAGCCAACTTTCCTCATGCTAATGGTTTGGACTGTTTATAGTTTTAATCCACCAAGATAGCTATTGTGACAGAATAGAAAAGAATGTCATTTTTAGGAGAATAGCAATCTCTCTGTGTATATCTTTTTTCTTTCTTTGTAGTAGCTAGAACAGTGGTTCTCAAGGTATGCTCCAGACCAGCATGTTTATTACTTGGGAACTTGTCATAAACACAAATTACTGGGTCCTACCCCCATCTACTGAATTAGAGATTCTGGCAACTTGTGTTTTAAGAAGCCCCCCAGGCAATTCTGGTGCAAGTTAATGTTTGAGAACCATTGGTCTAGAATGATATCTTCCATATACTGGGTGTTAAAAAATTATTTGTTGAAAACATGCATAAACATTGTTAAAAAGAGATAGAAGAGCCTTGAAGTTGATGAGTTGCTATGAAAGGCACTGTGGAAACTCCTAAAAACCTTGTTGAATTAGAATTCTTTCCACAAAAAGACTGTCTTCCTATGAGGGGGCCTTCAGGTTAAGAGTGGATCTGTCTCTTCATCTGCACCCAGAACTTTTCTTTGCAGCATCTTCTGGGACAGCCCTAACTCCAGTAATAGCCGCTGGATACCAGTCAAGGAATTTGCAAGGAGTTTTGGCTTGGGAGTAGCTGTGAGGAGCCTGAGCTGGGCAGGTAGGAGATGGATAATGTTATTTTATATAGCCACTGTTCATCATAACATTACATGTTAGTCTGGCTGAGGCTTAAGTTATATCACAGGCACACTAGCACAATAGACTAGAACAAAGTATGTTTTTCCACACCACTCTTAATACTATATAAGACTCTATTGCCAACAGAATGGTTTAAAAGGACAGAAAGAAACTCTTCCTTGGTGCTTCAGATGTCAGCAAAATCTTCAATTTATGATTAAGACTAGAAGATAGCAGGCATTATAAGGTCATAATTAGAATCATACAAGAAATATGTTTCTTGTGGCTAATATATGAGCAGGATAGTGATTTTGATGCAATTTTTATAAGGTACCCCAGTCTGTTGACCCTAATTGTTTCCCTAAGAGGGTCATGAAACATAATCCACAAATCCATCCCTCCTCATTCATCTTAAAAAACGATGACTTCATTTTTACAGGAGAGCCCTGGACCTTAGATGATGTAGTAAATATAGTCAGGGAGAAGGACCTTATTGCAATTAGCAAGTTGAAATTTCATGAGGCTGCTAGTGAGGAATCATGTAAACTTTAACCAGGGACTAGCATTATAATGCTTCAAAAATACCAGATTCATGAGGTTAAGAAGACCTGAAGGCAAATGATATGTCTCAGAGCCACCGGCCTCCCATTCCCAGCGGTTGAGGTCATCAACTTTCCAAAACTGAATTAACATTTTGGTCTTTGGTCTTTTTTCTTAATGTCTAAGCACTGTTGAACAAGTCTTTGGACAAGAGAACTGAAAAGCTGGGTAAGTCACCCTCTGGAATGTCTGTGAGGTTAGTAGGAGTGACCTGCATATATCCTGCATGGAGAACTAGCTCAGAGAATATTAGCACAAGGAGCTTTAAACATGAGAATTGTTAATAATTCTACCTGGCATTAATGTGGCCTGGGGTTTCTTAGTGAATTTTCCATTCTAAAGAAACTCTGTTAAAAACTGAACAGTGCCCAAAATGGTTAAAGACTACTCAAGGTAAAGGAAAAGAATAAAGTGTGGCTATTTCCTGCAAAATATTTCCTTCCACCCACCTATCCATAGGAACGGGTATGAAACAAAAGTGAAACAAGAATGAAAGGCCTTGAACACAGATATTTAGGCTCTCTTGGAGTCAGCCGCTGTTGTACTTGGCTACAGGCTGTTGGACAGCTGCTGAGGCCAGTGGATTCTGACATCTTCTGAGAGGAAACCAACCCAGCCAGTTCTCGCTGGTATAGTTCAGAACACCCACGGTGGGAATGTGACAGGGAAGGTCCTCCAGGCCCAATATCGCTGGAGAACTTGGGGGTTTGAGAGCAGATCATGGACCTTTTGTGGACAGCAAGGAAAACAGGTCCATACTAGGCTGGGCTATAAGCTTTAATTTTTTCCAGGATTACTGGGGCATCTGAGTGAAGGTAGCAGGGCAAGGAGAAGGGAGTGGGCATTCTTAGAGGGTCACAGCAAATCATTGTATTCCAGATGTTGTGTGTAAAACATATCCATCCTAAAGACTAACTTATCTAGGCAAGAATTAGGTGACTATTGAGCAAGAATTTCTTGAGATGAGAGTGGTTGGTCATCAGTGATTGAAGTCAGTAAGTTATAACTAGAACTTGAAAGCAAGCAGGGAGTCCTGCTGTGGTTGGAACCAAGTGTAACCTATTTAAAATGCTAGGCCCACACTCCTGGAAGCATGCAAAGTGAAGGTCTTCCACGACTTTCCTTTTTATGTTCTACATTTTGATGTCTACAGAGAATCCAAGGCACATGCCTTGACATCCTGTCTCTTTTCCAGGGGGCTATATTTCCCACATGTCTCAAATTAAGCATTAAGAGCTTTGATTTCAGAGACTTCAGGATACCCAAGGAGTGAAAAGAAATGGAGAATAGAACTTTCAACTAAGTGTAATGTTTTCTCTCACCATAATTAAAATGTGGAATGTCTTCAGGGTGAGAACACAAATAGAAGTGAATAACCCTGACTATTTGAAATGTCTCATTTTATAAAGTTTAGGACCTAAGAATGAACAAATAAAAGAGTTGCCAAATACTGACATAATCTCTGAATCCATGTAATTATTTTATGTTCCCCACCATGACCATGAGTAACAAAGTAGTTCCAAGAAATCATCCTATGGCTCTCTACTCACAAAATCTTCAGATATGAAGGCCAAAATCCATATACAATATCTAAGGTCTTCTAAAACTCAAAGCCTAAAACCTCTGCAGCTTTAGCTCTCATCACATTTATATTTTCCCAGTGTGACCAGACCATGATGAGCACTCAGTACAGAAGCATGTAAAATAAAGTCTCCTGGCTGGATAATACCACATCTTTAAAGAACCATTCAGGGCTACAAACACTCAGCACTCTCCTTCTTCCCCAGACATAACAATTACTATTGTATGCTTCTATAATAGTACTCATGAAACTTTGAGATTTTATGCAAAAACAAGATCATTCCACTTTGCATCCCTAGAATGTAGCATAGTCCCAGTTTACTTTACTTCATAAAGTAAACAATAAATACTGAATGCACGAGTGAATGAATGAATGAACAAGTAGCCAAAATGCAAGCATGTATAATGCCTTAGCTAAGAGAACTTTGTAGAACCAAGACCAGGATCAAAAATTAAACACAGCAATTTAAGCCCCTACTTTCCTCAAACCCCCCCCCAACAATGCTATGTTACATGAATCCATTTATTCTTTGTTTTGCATTGAATATCTATAGCTATATATAAAGTGAACGCCTGGTGAGTGGGTGGGTGGTGGTGTTCACTCTTATTTAGTGGAATGTGAATATGTCAGAATAACAGAAAATAGAAAGAAAAAGGTTTATTCAAAGCTGTCAGTTCTCATGCCTGTTTTTAAAATCTGTGATGGTGCCTAGATGGTTCAAATTTAATATTCGTATCTACTTTATCACATCAAATATGATCATTAGCAAACAGTGTTTGAATAGTAGCTGTTTCCTGACTGACAATAGCCATCCGGTAGTACCCACTTTCCCATATGCCTGGGACTGATACAGTTCAGATAGTCTGGAAAACAGTGGGAGGAAGGAAGTAATTAAAAATAAAGGGGAAGCTTGGGGCAAAGGATAAACATCAATTTTATCTCACACAAGAATATTCCTATATTTGTTCTCTTAAAAATTATAGGTGGAGACAGAAATACTATTTTTAAACCTATTTTATATCCTCAAATGGGAATGCATTCTTGCCCATAGAGGGTCAGGAAATCCTGAGGATGGGCACTGGTGTTCAAAAGAAGCTTACAACTGTAGGCTTAGAAAACAGAAAGAAATTAGCTCTGGAATACCATGGAAGTGGATGAAGCTAGAAAAGTGGACAGTGGTACTATTATAAATTCAGAGGCCCAAGCAACATTTATAATAGGTTGACTGCCCCTCACCCACTCAAAGAAACACTTCACTGTCACCAGCAATACCTTTACCATGTCGGGCAGGGAACAGGGGTGAGTAGGAGACAGACCTGGCCTTCGGGGTCTGTAAGTGCTATAGAATCTTTTCAGGCAGCAGCTTTTCCCAGAAAGTTGGAGGAAAAGGTGTTCAGCAATAATTTATAAACACTGAAGAACCAAAGAATGCATTCTTAATTTTAGGACTGGTTGCAAAAACTGTCCCGTTCGTTCCATTCCTATCCAGCTTATTTTGATCATTCACCTAAATTATGTTTCCCAGACATCCCCTACCTCCAATTAGGTGGGTCATGCAGTGAGCTGTGGCCAATGGAATATGGAAAGAAGTGATTGATGCCATTTTCCAGGCCTGGATCAGGATCCCCTACCATCATCTTCCTCATCCATAGACTGAATGTGAAGGAACCTGGGACTCTAGAGAAGGAAAGTGCCCCAAGACAGAGAGAGTCTAGGTCCCCTTATATGAACTACTCATAAGGCAGCCTACCAAACAAGAGGGTCCCCCCCTTCAGCCATTTGGATTTTATGCCCTTCTACAAAGCCACTGAGATCTGGAGTTTATTGATTACAATAGAGATAGAGCTGCTGCTTCCAACCCTTTCACAAAAATGACTCAGATGGTCTCATGTACCATGTCCTCCCATGCCCTCTGTCACTCTCAGGAGCATCTTCTTGACATCTCCTCTGCCATTTGGAGCATACAAGCCAACTGTTTATTCAGAATTGTCAAAAACTCATTTATGGCTAGAATAGCAATGACATTTAAATAGCCAAAGAATCAACAGAGTAATTTTTGGAGAAAAGGTATAAAAAATTGAGGGAACATGATGAGCAATGCTTTTAGTCACCATGGCGTGCTTTTATTCATTGATGCACACATGTAATTTCAGTTAAAGTGCCGGGTCCAATTGCATGTAGCTTTCCCTGTGGTTCCTGAAAGCACTATGATTTTACTAGCATAATGGAGATGTTTAAACATAACATCTCCATTAAACATAATGGATGTTGAAGTGAGCTTAATAAACAAATAAATAGATGAATAATGAACCTTTGTATGCTTGGAGTATAATCATGGGATGCTGGAAGTTCGTTAGGGACTGGGGAACAGATAAAAATGGGACTCTGGTGAGTAAAGAATTTCCTCAAGATCCTGTTGCATATTTGAATCTTAATCTAGCTACACATTCCTCTTATTTACCCATAGAATGAATTAGGATGTAGAACTCCAGTCCAGAGAAGGAGTAACCTAAAAGACTGATCGTTTCCCCAGGTGCCTTCTACCTATCAGTTGCCATCAATTTGGCTTCTTCTATTGCTGCTCTCTAAAAATAAAGGGGAAATTCTTTTTTCAGAAACCATGATTACCTGGCTGACTGTGTTTCCTTACTTTTCCATTTCTACTGTGGCAACTCTAGCCATTTAGTAAATATGAAGATAAAAGCTCATTTAAGAGCAGAATGACTCAGGATTACAGAGTAAAGGAAACAGATGTACCTGCCCATGCAGTTGAGGCAACTAGAAGGATGGGCTTCAACTAAGAGATCCTCACTGAACAAATTGAGGAAAGGGTAAGAAACTCTGTCTACTCAATCTTGCCTGGAGTAGCTGGTGAACTGTTAGAAACAGAAAAACATACTGCAAGTTCCTCCTTCCTGTCTAATGTTCAGAAAAAGTCCTGAGTGTCTTGAGTGCCCCAACCCCCAGCACAGCATGGTAATAGTCATCAAATGCTAAGCCGTGTTTTCACTGGTACCTCTTCTCTCCTTTCACATATATATTTTTTGAACTTCCTTTTGGATTAGGACTCTTCCTCCCCCCGCCCATTCATACACCTCATGTCTATTGTTTTCTAGAAGGTTTCCTACTCACTACTTTTATTTTTTTTCTCAGAGAGACCCTAGACAATTGTTTCACCCTAAGATGGAGGAAAGATCCCTGGGTGACCGTTTGAAGAAATATTTTCCAAGACAACAACCCATTCTAAGTTGTATTATAGCTTGCAAGTATATTCACTTCCCTGGAAGAACCCCGGCCTACTGATATCAAGCTCAGCTGTATGATGTGCTTGAGCTAATACAACGTGAGCATACATGATACATGCTATCACCTTCCAGAAGCTCTGGAAGGCACTGTGAAAGTCTGCCAGTTCTTTTGCTTCTGCCTCCTCCTGTGAAAATGTCACATCTCACAGAGATATTTCTTCTTTATTCTGGACCCAGGAATAAAAGGACACTTGGAGCAGAGCCAAATGGAATCAAGCAGAGACAAAACATCTGCAGCCACCACTACATAATGTAGTCTGTTGTTGTAAGCCTCTAGGATTTGGGGTGTCTATATGAATGTAGCAAAACTGACTAAAATATCCCCTGACCAGAGGCATTAGAAATGGATTTTGTGAATGACAAATGAACTTTATTGGGTTAAGAACCTAAGGTTTTTGATTTATGTTAATACTACTATTACCCTCAACTACTATTCCTCCCCACTTTCAATACCTTAAAACACCCATTAGCCCCTCAAACAGATGAGCTATAATGACATGAAAGGGAAATTCCCAAGATCCTAAAACTGGGTAGGACTAAAAGGATCCAGTTTGAAATTTCTCCAAAAAGCTGGACAGTGGTGATCATCCACCACCCCCATTTTCTGTAAGTCATCACATTACAAGCAAAGAATAGCAGCATTAGCCTCTGTCTTTGTAATAGCCACATAGATAAACTTGAATTTTCTTTTTACCTTTACCCTAATTTGCTCCCAGATTTGCTAGGTAAAAAAAAGCAACATAATTTTAGAAAAAATAACGTCCTTTCCAGCTGCCACTGCAACCTGAGGATGCCCTTTCCGATAATCTCTATATTCTCTAAAAAGTTTCTTATGTTTTCTGTTTCCCACAGAAAGCTTTGAGTTATTTTCTCTCCATGATTTAAGCATAGGTTAACCACTCTATCTGCATTTCTCTAGCTCCTGCCCTTGCTTAATTAGACCTAGGATTTCTTATTTTTGGTATATGCTTTTCTCAATTTACTCTTCCTTTTAATTGTCCTCTTCTTTACACATCAAAGTGAACACTCCTGCATCATGATACTATTGGAAAATAGTTCTCCGTGAATCCCTTGAGTTACTGTACATCTTGAGAGCAGAAGAACTGATAGATTTTTGTTCTACACTATCTTTTTCAAGGATATTTATATAGCAAACAGCCTTGGAAAACATAGTGTCTTGCTCCCGAGCAAAGAGCAAAATTGTTTGCTGTCCATTATAATAAAAATAATGCGCCAGGCACGGTGGCTCAAGCCTGTAATCCCAGCACTTTGGGAGGCCGAGGCAGGTGGATCACAAGGTCAAGAGATCGAGACCATCCTGCTCAACATGGTGAAACCCCGTCTCTACCAGAAATAGAAAAAATTAGCTGGGCATGGTGGCGCGTGCCTGTAATCCCAGCTACTCAGGAAGCTGAGGCAGGAGAATTGCCTGAACCTGGGAAGCGGAGGTTGCGGTGAGCCGAGATTGTGCCATTGCACTCCAGCCTGGGTGACAAGAGCAAAACTCCGTCTCAAAAAAAAAAAAAAAAATGCTTCTGATTGTCTGTGTCCCCACCCAAACCTCACCTTGAATCGTAATAATCCCCATGTGTCAAGGGGAGGGCCAGGTAGAGATAATTGTATCATAGGGGTGGTTTCCCCCATACTGTTCTCACAGTAGTGAATAAGTCTCATGAGATCTGATGGTTTTATAAGGGAGAGTTCCCCTGCACAAACTCTCCTGCCTGCAACCATGTAAGATGTGCCTTTCTCCTCCTTTGCGTTCTGCCATGATCGTGAGGCCTCCCCAGCCATGTGAAATGGTGAGTCCATTAAACCCCTTGTTCTTTGTAAATTACTCAGTCTCAGGTATATATTTATTAGCAGTGTGAGAATAGAATAATATAGTAAATTTGTACTGGTAGAGTGGGGTGCTGCTCTAAAGATACCCAAAAATGTGGAAGTGAATTTGGAACTGAGTAACAGGCAGAGGGTGGAACAGTTTGGAGGGCTCAGAAGAAGACAGGAAAATGTGGGAAAGTTTGGAACTTCCTACAGACTTGGAGGACTCAGAAGACAGGAAGTTGTGGGAAAGTTTGGAACTTCCTAGAGAATGGTTGAATGGCTTGGACAAAAATGCTGATAGTGACATGAAATATAAAGTCCAGGCTGAGGTGGTCTTACATGGAGATGAGGAACTTGTTGAGAACTGGAGTAAAGATGACTCTTGCTATGCAAAGCAACTGGTAACATTTTGCCCTTGCCCTAGAGATGTATGGCACTTCAAACTTGAGAGGGATGATTTAGGGTATCTGGCAGAAGAAAATTCTAAGCAGCAAAGCATTCAAAAGAAAGCAGAGAATAAAAGTTTTAAAAATTTGCAGCCTGATGATTCAGTAGAAAAGAAAAACCCATTTTCTGGGGAGAGATTCAAGCCAGCTGCAGAAATTTGCATAAGTTACAAGGAATGGAATTTTGATCACCAAGACAATGGGGAAAATGTCTCCAGGACACGTCAGAGACTTACACAGCAGGCCCTCCCATCACAGTTCCAGAGGGCTAGGAGGAAAAAATGAATTCCTGGACTGGGTCCAGGGCCCCCCTGCTGTGTGCAGCCTTGAGACTTGGTGCTCTGCATCCCAGCTGCTCTAGCCATGGCTAAAAAGAGCCAACATACAACTCAGGCCATGGCTTCAGAGGGTGCAAACCTCAAGCCTTGGCAGCTTCTATGTGGTGTTGGTTCTGTGGGTGTGCAGAAGAATTGAGTTTTGGGAACCTCTGCCTAGATTTTAGAGGATATATTTAGAAACACCTGGATGTTCAGGCAGAGGTGTGCTGCAGGGGTGGATCCCTTAGGGAAAACCTCTACTAGGGCAGTGTAGAAGGGAAATGTGAAGTTGTAACCTCATACAGAGTCCCTACTGGGGCACTGCCCAGTAGAGCTATGAGAAGAGGGCCACCAACCTCCAGATCCCAGAATGGTCGATCCACTGACAGCATGCACTGGGCACCTGGAAAAGCTACAGACACTCAGTGCCAGCCTGTGAAAGCAGCCAGGGAACAGGGGAGTGTGAGGGGTGTACCCTGCAAAGCCGCAGGGGTGGAGATGCCCAAGGTCATGGAAGCCCACCAGGAAGACCTGGACGTGAGACATGGAGTCAAAGGAGATCATTTTAAAGTTTAATGACTGCCTTATTAGATTTTGGACTTTAAAGTTTAATGACTGCCTTATTAGATTTTGGACTTGCATGGCACCTGTAGCCCCTTTGTTTTGGTCAATTTCTTCCATTTGGAATGGTTGTATTTACCCAGTGCCTGTGGCCCCATTGTATCTAGGAAGTGACTAACTTGTTTTCAGTTTTACAGGGTCATAGGTGGAAGGGACTTGCCTTGTCTAAGATGAGGCTGGACCATGGCCTTTTAGTTAATACTGAAATGAATTAAGACTTTGGGGGACTGTCGGGAAGGCATGACTGGTTTTTAAATGTGAGGACATGAGATTTGGGAGGCGTCAGGTGCAGAATGATATTATTTGTTCCCCACTCCAATCTCACCTTGACTTGTAATAATCCACACATGTGAAAGACAGAGCCAAGTAGAGATAATTGAATTATGCAGGTGGTTTTTCCCTACTGTCCTTGTGGTAGTGAATAAGTCTCATGAGATCTGATGGTTTTATAAAGGGCATGCTCTCTTGCCTGCTATCATGTGAAACGTATCTTTCTCCTTTGCTTTCTATCATGATTGTAAGTCCTCCCAGCCATGTGGAACTGTGACTCCATTAAAGCTCTTTTTTCATATAAATTACCCAGTATCAGGTCTGTCTTTATTAGCAGCATAAGAACAGACTAAGATAGCCTCCCTTTAGGGCAAAGATTGGGTAGATTGGCTTGCAGCCCACTATAAAAAGTTGTGGTGTTCTAAGCTCAGATTTCCTCAGCTTTGAAAAAAACCAACTATGTCTAACCCACAGCATTCATCAAAAGCTACCTATGTCACCTTTGAGAGTCTTAGAGAACATGAGGAGCTGACACAAACATGAATCTCATGCTACCTGCTGTGCTGTCAGTAGTAAAGTCCTTTGTCTCTGAACCAGGAGTTTCATATCTTCTGTCAGCAGCCATAAAACTATGTGGACTAACATTTTATTTTGCAAGTAGGGCAAAATTATGAATCCTTCACAGTACTTGACATATACCACCTCCTGTAAGCTGTATTTGTTATGAATTAATACCCATAAATATTCATGTTTACATTCACATGTATCATATATACTTTCTCACTTTAAAAAAGGTCATAAAATCACAATCTATCCACAACACACACAAACATGATGATCATTTTAATCCCAAAAGTTTGTTTGTTTGTTTGTTTTTTGAGACAGAGTCTCGGTTGCCCAGGCTGTAGTGCAATGGTGTGATCTCGGCTCACTGCAACCAGCACAGTTCCTTGCTCAAATAAAATGTTTGTTGAATGACTGAACAAATTTAAAATTGGAATAACGATTGTACATTATTTACTATAAAATTATCAACTCACTGATACCTCTAGTTACTACTAATATTCTTGATAGAAAGAAAGTTAATATTGACTTAGGTCTCCAAAACAGTAACCCAAATATAGTCAGTATCTTCCAGAAGTGGGCATGTTGGTTTTAAAAAGAATGTATAGAGGCATCTCATTCTTACATGACAAGGATTAAGGTTGGGTTTTTTCATTTTCTGTAAATATTTTGGACTTTTGACCTTCAGTTGTTGCCACAATATCATGTACAGCACTGAAAGCACTGATTATTAAATATCTCATTCAACCTTTTTTTGACAATCTTCTCTTTGTAAGGAAGTTTTAGCCCCTTGGGATTTAAACAAATAAATGAGTAAATTACAATTCAAAAAGCAGCACATTATATAATACAATTAAAAACACTGCAGCATTAGAGAGAGGAACAAGTAAGCCTCAGTATTGGGGTATGTGGTATGTACAATATTGATATTGACATTCTAACTCAGTTTCAAGGCCTCATTCACTTTTTATTCTACTTTTGGCTTCTGACATTTTGATTTTTATGATACTGGTAAAATAGTCCACTTCCTTTTTCTCTGTCCTGACATCCTACTTTAGTAGTTTTTGCAACCAGCCTTTATTTGCTTTTTATCCCTCAAAGAATTTCATTTCAGGTACTTTGTTGTTCTGGGTTTTCTGGTGCTGATCATACATGGTCACCTCCTGTTTGGATCTAGTGTGGTTTGGAGTAGAGTATCTGTGTTTAGTGTTTCTAAAAGCCTGTGATGTAGGTTCTAACATACAGACCTGTTTGAGAACTTCTGCTGTAGGGTCTCCTATGACCCCACTCATTTTGAATTGAAATGGATTATGCACACCAGTAAGCTCATCCTAGTACTTGACATTTACCCAGTTAATTTCTCTCCACCATATAGACTCCTTTTCTCCCATTCTCCTTTTTGACTAGAAGAGCTGGGGCTAGAACTGTGTGTTGTTCTGATTAAGAGTTAACATCATCTTTCTAGGGAAAAAAACTAGAATCCAGGCAATTTTTGTCTTACCACAGCAGTTTGCACAGAACCAGACTCACAAGGAATTAATAATCACAGCAGAATTTGGTGTTAAACTCTTGCCATCCTAGACCAAGTACAGAAGAAAGGGGAGGAGCAAAAGGGAAGTGGAAAAGGTTACAGCTTTCTACCTCTCCTGGTAGAATAGCACACAGGGAGAGTAAAGAAAGGACTGGGATTTGCCATGGCAGCCTGAAGCTCCTCACAGAAACCAAGAACTGCCTTGTCCAGACATGAGAGGAAAAGCACTTTCTCAGTGAGTCTCGGCAGATCCTATGGTAGCTTCATAGACTAGAGGTGTACTCTGCTTTAGAGAGATAGCTGTAGTGACGGCCGTCTTTATTTATGCAGAAAGCCACACATTTCTGGTTGTGAACAGGCAACCAGTGGTTAGGATGAGCAATAACAGGAAACCCACCCGCCACTCTCTTAAAAGCATGTAACTGTAAATTGTGCACATTCTTACATTTTAAACATGTTTACATGTAAAGTTAAGGTGCTGAATTATAATCACATTGCAGCAATCATTTATATTTATGTCCTTTAGTCTTCCAACAATCAGAGAAAGTATCATTACACAGTGGAATTTATTTCCATATCCAGGTGCTATTTGAAACACTGACTTAAGGATCTCTGTCATTTTAAGTGGCCAGTGGAAAGCTGAGTGGTGTGAGTGGGTCCAAGGGTTCTTACTTTCATGGCTCTGTAATCTGAGACTCAAGGGCTGCTGTTTGATTAATTGATTAACTGATTTTATTTATTAATTCATAAAACATTTACTGAGTGCCTATTATGTGCTAAGCATTATGTAAAGTGGTAAAGATAAGAAAAGAAATCACCATCTCAGTGAACTTTTGCAGTAGACAAGGGAACAGTTTCAAAACATTGCTATAAACTGGGCGCGGTGGCTCACAACTGTAATCCCAGCACTCGGGGAGGCCAAGGTGGGTGGATCATTTGAGGTCAGGAGTTCAAGACCAGCCTGACCAACATGGTGAAACCCTGTCTCTAGTGAAAATACAAAAATTAGCTGGGTGTGGTGGCAGGCACCTGTAATCCCAGCTATTTGGGAGGCTGAGACAGGAGAATTGCTTGAACCTGGGAGGTGGAGGTTGCAGTATCTGATGGATAGCTCCATATATGAGTTAAACCTGAAAAGGTTGTACAGGCTGAAGATATAAATTTGAGACCAGAGATGGATTGGTAGAACAGACCTTTGAGGGAGTATATTAAAGAATCAAGTATGAAATTCAAGGCTGGTGTTTCTCAAGCTTTAGGGTATGTGCAGATCACCCAAGTATCCTGTCAAAATACAAGTTCTGATTCAGTAAACTTGGAGTGGGGTCTAATCATCATAATTTCCAACAAACTTCCAGATGATATTGATGCTGCAAGTATGCAGACCACACTTTGAGTAGCAATACTGTAGAAAACACTCGTGTTTAAGGACAGGAAGATGAAGAAAAGTCCACAAAAAGGATTGAGTAGAAGTCAAAGATTTAAGAAGAGAGTTGGCTGTGGTAGTGGGAGGTGTGGGGGACCATAAATAGGAGTATTGTCTTGGAATCCAAGAAAAGAGAGAATTCCGTAAAGAAGAAAATGTTCAACAAAGTCAAAGGCTACTAACAAGTAGAGTAAAATGGTCCGGTAAATGTCTATGAAATCGGCAACTTGAAAATAATTTTGAACTTTGACAGAAGAGTTTTTGTATGATGGAGAGAGAAGTAAATTATAGTGGGAGGCTAACTAACAGTTACGGAAATAAATGGTGGTTGAAGAAATAGACACAGCGAGAATGGATTTTTTTGTTTGTTTGTAAACAGTAACAACAACAAACATTTACCGTGATAGGAAAGAGAGAAATTGGGTGACAGTTTAGGAGAGACAAAGATTTGTAAAGTGTCATTATTTTTAAGATTATAAAAGACATGAGGTTTGTGGTAGGTAGAATAATTCCTTCTTTCCTAATCTCCTGGAATTGTAAATGTCCTGACCCTTCTGCAAACAGTACTTTGCAACTGTGATTAAATTAAGGATTTTGAGATGGAGAGATTATCCTTGGATTATTCAGATGTGCCCTGTGTAATCACAAAGATCCTTTAAAGAAGGGAGCAGGAGAAGAAGAAAGAGTGCTGTGAGCCAAGAAATGCCAGTGGCCCCGAAGAACCACAAAAGACAAGAAACTGATTCTTATCTTAGAGCATCCAGAAAGAACACAGCACAGCACTGCAGACACCTTGATTTTAGACCAGTGAGACTTCTGACATCCTTTCAGAACTGTAAGATAAAGAGAAATTTGTGTTGTTTAAGCCAAAAAGTTTGTGATAATTGTATTGCACCAATAGGAAACTAGTACAAGAATCTTTAATATGTGAATCAAAGAAATTGTAAGGGACAGCCGGTAATATATCTTCTTCACTCATCAAGGGATCACAACTGACACTCCCATAACAAAGACGGATTAGCCAGAGAAAAGCATAACAAATTTATTTAACCAAAGCTTTATGTGGCATGACAGGCATCATAAATGAAGACCCAGAGACCCCCAGAGAAAACTGTGTATTTTTATGGACAGCCATACAGAAGTGTGATTGGAGGACAAAAACCCATGTTCTAATGGTAATAAAATGGAGGAAATTCAGGAAGTCCTGTTAATTCAAATTCTTCTTTGCTTCCAGGAATAGGGCAAGGCCTTACTTCTGGAATGGGGACCTTATGACCTATTTTAAGAGGAATTTTTAATGACCGTGCTTGAGAGAAGATGGGAGAAGGTCAGAGAGTGACCGCCTAAGAAGAATGAGGATGAGAAGAAAAAATAGACTCTCCTACTATGGAGGTGCAGAGTTTTCTTCAAGACATTAGGTGTAAAGCTATGGACAGAGTAACTATAAACCACCCTTTCATGTGCATCCTTGTCTATGAAATGGGGACCATAATGCCACGTTCATGAAGATAAAATGAAGTAACATGTAAAACGGCTAGGCAAACAAGATGAGTGCAAAGGTGTGGTTCTCTTGCCCATTTTAAGTGCTTTCCGGAAGAATGCTTTGCTGCAGTCCAGGGCATGGCAGCTGCTTCATTGTAACTCAATACTGGAAACTGGCTCCCCCAAATAATCTCCACAGTAAGCTGAGCTCTGTTGAGTGTATGAAAAATTGAGAGGGAGACGACCTTGACCCTGGCGTGTCTGGACTACTTCTCCTCTGAATGTTCCTAGGCTAAAACCAAACATTCTTAGTAGATAATCCGTTCCCTTAGCCCTTTCTGTTTCTACCGCGTCGCATGCCCTCTCTGGCTAAATGCTCTCTCCTCCTTCCCAGATTCACATTTAATAAGGAGAAGGTCTCCCAGCAGCTCCTCCAGACCGAGCCACACCTCTGCCTGGGAATCTGGTGCTGCGGTTGCAGGAGCCCGCTGTGCGCCTTCTGGTTTCCATGGAGACCCTGCTTGGTGTCGCCGGAGGCTCCGGAGCTCGAGGGAAACCTAAGCGTTTGTATTTAAATGAGGGAAAGTGGGGGGGAGGGGAAGCAAGAGGAAGGGAACAGGAGAGAGGTCGATGGTGGAGGTGAGCCGGCGGGCGTTCATGGACTTAGGGGACTAGAAAAATCCAGCTGGGTTACTCAGTCATCTCGCGATCGCAGGAGAAATCAGAGGAGGCAGCAGGGGGCAGAGGTGTTTATTTCGTGCGTGAGAAATATCCGACTCCTTTCTGACATCCGGGAGTAAGGGATAGGCAACTAGGAATTCCTTTTCATGTGTCTGGCTCCTGGCTGACAGTGCTGATCTGTTTCGTTTCCAAGAAGCAAGGGAGAGTTCTCGCTCTGCCCAGAGTCTCAAGTCTTAAAGATTCATCGCTGCTATGGGAGGGGGCACACCTCTATTTCACTCTCGACCTTTTTTCCTGCAACATAACTAAATGGAAGCTCTGGAAAGACAGATTCCAAAAGCTTTGGGGTCTGGATTAACTGCTGTTTATTGGCTGACATTCTAGCTGGAGGTTGGGTGAATAGGAGGAGGTTGGGCAGAATGTATGCTAAGATTGAATTGCACTACGGTTCAGATGACGTCAGCTTGAATAAACGTCTGACCTAGTGAATGTTAAATGTGTCTGAGTGACTGAATCTTCAGAAGGGATCGATGGCAGAAACCTCCATGAAAGGACCATGCCACTTCTTTAAGATACTAAGCATGTGATTCTGCTTATCACCCCTGCAACTCCCAGAGCTCTCTCTGGTAGATTCTCAGCTTTCTGCTATAATCGCTGGAACATTACTTACTGTCCTAGATAACTGGATCACGTGGAGTTTGCACGAAAAAAGGAAGTCTCTGAAAAAAGAAAAAGCCGTTATAAGCCATCAGAATGCCTGCTAATGTTACAAAGTGAAAGCAATTCAATTTAATAAACACTTTAAGAGGTCTACTTCTGGCTAAGTGTGTGCAAAATGAGTGAGATGTTCTTTGCCTTCAAGGTGCATACATTCTGTTGGGGAGGCGGATAGGCTCACAAATGTCTCATGGTGCCTGGCAGCAGGCAATATATATCATGGGAACCCCAAGGAAAGTGCAATTAATTTGATAATTAGATTCATATTAGATATCTCTGAGGTCTAGACTTTTATAATCGATGCCGAGAAGTACAGGGAAAAGTTCTCTGCGTAGGGGTGGAATAGAAAAAAATTTAACACATTGCCTATTTGATATAAAGTTTCAGTTCTATAAAATTGTCTGTCAAGTGGCATAGCAAGCTAATTTTCCTATTTTTTCCCTGTCTAACAATGTATTGCTATTGCTGCAATTCATAAGAAACTTTGGCTTGGCCTCTATTCCATTTTTACCACTTGCCTAACCCATTTTATTTTGATATTAGAGGTTCAAGCTTTCATGGTTTTATTTAAAAATAAACTCAGAAGGTAGAATTTTGAGAAAGAATGCTTTAAAACGTATTTGGGTTTAGGCTGAGTAAGAACCATAGATATATGAAGGGCATTGAGATTCTTTTGTAGTTGAGACAGGGCTGAAATAAAGAAGATATCTGTGCCATTTGGGGCTCATTTTCAGAGTCATAGCATATGAGAATTAAGAGATGAGTGACAGCTCCATCACAAATGTTGAAGAAATTTTTGAACTATGTAACACTTTTGGTCTGAATTTAGTGCATGTTGCTGAGTCATGAGTTACAAAGTTTTCATTAGAAAATTAGGAGATAGGAATACATTAAAGGACACAGAATCCAAAGGCTAATTCTTGGCCTTTGAATGGAAGATATCAGACAGTAATGAAATTAAAGGAGGGCAATTATTTCTAGAAAGGACAGGAAAAAGAAGCCATATATGCTCAAACTAGTCATAGTTTCTGTGTCATTGAAATATTAGTTACTAAGGGCTTGTTTTCAAGTTGGCTGAGGAGTACACCTATAAAAAAAAGCATCTTCCCAGAGTTTTGGCAATGAAGCAGAATATGAACAATTTTTTAATAAAAAGGGGCAGAAAGCCAAGAGTCAACTTATTTTATTTTTATTGTTTTATTATTCTTACATTCATAGGCCTGGTCTATGAAACCACTCTTCCTTCCTAGGCCTCTGGGCATGTTTTGGGAGGTGCGGCTATGAAGGTCTCCGAAATGTCTTTGAGGTCTTTTCCCCATAGTCTTGGTTATTAGTACATGGTTCCATTTGACTTATGCAAATTTCTGCAATTTGCTTGAATTCCTCCCCTGAAAATGGGCTTTTCTTTTCTACCACATGGCTAGGCTGCAAATGTTCTAAATTTTTCATGCTCTGCTTCCCTTTTAATGTAAGTTTCAACTTTACATCATTTATTGACTCACACATATGAGCATAGGTTGTTAGCCAGGTCACATCTTGAACAATTTGCTGCTTAGAAATTTCTTCTGCCACATACCCTAAAGCATCACTCTCAAGTGAAAAGTTCCACAGATCCCTAGGGCAGGGGCATAGTGCAGCTAGGCTGTTTGCTAAAGCACATCAAAAGTGATCTTTATTCTAGTTCTCAGTAAATTTCTATTCAAGACCTCCTCAGCCTGGACTTCATTGTTCATATCACTATCAGCATTTGGGTCACAGCCATTCAACAAGTCTCCAGAAAATTCTGAATTTTCCCTTATCTTCCTTTCTTCTGAGCCTTTCACACTCTTCCAACCTCTACTCGTTACCCAGCTCCAAAATCACCTCCACATTTTCAGGTATCTTTATAGCAATGCCCCACTCCTGGTACCAATTTTCTGTATTAGTTCATTCTTGCACGGCCATAAAGAAATACTTGAGACTGGGTAATTTATAAAGAAAAGAGGTTTAATTGGCTCACAGTTCCACAGGTTGTACAGGAAGCATGGGAGCTTCTGCTTCTGAGGAGGCCTCAGGAAGTTTACAATCATGGCAGAAGGCAAAGAGGGAATGAGACATGTAATATGGCTAGAGCCAGAGAAAGACAGCAAGGTCAGGGGGAGGTGCTACACACTTTTAAACAACCCGATCTCACGAGAACTCAGGACACTTTACCAAGGGGAAAATCCACTCCCACGATCCAATCACTTCCTACCAGGCCCCACCTCCAACACTGGGAATTGCAGTTTGACATGAGATTTGGGTGCGGATACAGTTCAAAATATTGATCCTCTAGTTTATTCTCATCTTATTTTGAGATGGAAACCTTTCAGAGCTAAAAAGTATCTGTGGTCATCCAGTCCACCTTCACATTTCACAAATAAGAAAGCAAGAGCCAGGAGGAAATGAGTGACTTTTCTAATACCACAGTCAGAGACAAAGGCAGGTTTAGAGCCCAGGTTTCTTACTGCTAGCCCAGTGAGTGCTAGCCCAGTTCTGCTACATTATTTCTTATACCTATAAAGGCTAACTGAATCCAAAGTTCCTTTTGAATTTAAATACTTTTCCATTTAACATCTGACTGTATTGCATTTTTACATTTATATTGTTTATTTGCAGCATGCAAAGTGTTTTATCTAATTTAACCCTTGTATCAATCTAAGTAAATATCAGCTAAAAAATGGCCTGCATGGGACTTATCTACTTTTTATATGTAATATACTTTCCCCACAAATACCCAATACTTATTTGTGAATATTAGGTGAATTAAAAATAAAATAAATAGACCATACTATTTCTACTCTTCTCCACAATACTATCAAGTAGGAACTCGTTGTGCTTTAAGAAAATAAAACAGAAGTAGGAGAAGTGGACAGCCTGACAAAGCAAGGAAGAACGAACAAATGGCATGGACAGCTTTTGCAAGTTGGTGCCACAGATGATAGTGGTTAAATTTGCTTGTCATTTTAGACATCTGTAATAGAGGAGGTATTATCTACAGTTGTTCCTGCAATGGTGATCCTTGTTATTTTGAGAAAATTCTCTTTGCAGCTGATGAATTCAGTTCCCAGAAAAAAGCATAGGACTGATGTTGGAGACTAAGAGCACCTCCTCCCTACCATGAACTACATTCTCAGAGGCCCAGCCATCCCAGGCAGGATGGTTTCAATCACTCCTGCCATCCAGTCATCTCTGACACTTCTTGGCAGACAGCCTGCCTCTAATGGAATGTGTCCTGCAGCTGGGAATTAGGTCATCAGTAATTTACTTAATAGCATTTTATGAGCTGGGTTCTGACAAAAGAGAGTGATCTGGCCTTACCAGCAGGAGCTTTCCTTGATGTGAGGGGAAGGAGGGAGAAGAGTATAGCATTGTGAATAATCAGACACTATATTTCCTGAAAGTAATGGGTGAGGGTAAGAAAATCTGGTTGTTTCTTCAGCCTTCCTATGTGATTAGGCAAGATACATACCTTGGGCAAAGTACTTCTTGTTTCTGGACTTTAGTTCCTCTAAAGCCTTATTCAACTCTAATATCATATACTTCTGACTCTAAAGACTTCTTTTTGAAAATTAAAGGATACAGAATTTGACAGGTCGTCACCACCTCTTCCCTGATGGTGATCTATGGAAGGGAAGACAGATAACCCCACTCTTCTGCCATTAGTGTGCTTTGAAAAGAAAAGCACTGATTTGTAGAGTTTGCTAAGTTTCCTGGTGTAAGTATTCTCAACATGGCTGATTTCAAGCTATCAATGCTTTAATAACTGGCGAGCAAAATTTTTGAAAATTGAATGATTAATTTCTGTGAGCTGGTATGAGTTGCTCCAGTATGCCACTAGTTCTCTCCCATCTAGATAAACCTGCATCAATGAATAGTCTCCCGTATGTAGACACATAGCTGCATTGTTCACACACTAAGATATGTGCCATATATATCTTTGTTTTGGTTTTGGATGAAAAGATATTCACAACTTCTCTTTGATTCTAGTCCAGTTGCTATTCTTAATTTATGTGAAGCCCTCTCAGAAAATATGTGAATTCTTATTAGGAAACTGTCCAGTTTATATAGCTCTTCATCTGAATTCCCTTTTCTTTCACCACAGCTCTGATGCTCCCAGGGATGTTCAGGGATCCATTTGACCCTTCATATTTTCTTTTGACCTCTAGGACCCCATTTTCTTTCTGTTGGAAAACCCAAGATGCATCTCATGAACGTTCAGAAGGTTCGTTGTTGCTATACAGGGTTTACAATTTGGAAAAGAATCACTGGAATCCTTCCTCCTTTTCACTGGGTGTGAGAGAAACCCTTTTGGGTCCTGAAATTTTAATATGCCAAATCTTCCAATCTCAAGAAAATTAGGGCGGGATGCAGTGGCTCATGCTTATAAAACCAGCACTTTGGGAAACTGAGGCAGGTGGATCACCTAAGGTTGGGAGTTCCAGACCAGGATGGCCAACATGGTGAAACCCCCATGCCTACTAAAACAAGCAAACCAAAAAAAAAAAAAAAACACAAAAACTTAAAAAAAAATAGCCAGGAGTAGTGACAGGCACCTGTAATCTCTCAGCTACTTGGAAGCTGGGGCAGGAGAATCTCTTCAACCCAGGAGGCAGAGGTTGCAGTCAGCTGAGATCATGCTACTGCACTCCAGCTTGGGTGACAGAGTGAGACTCCATCTAAAAAATAATAAATACAACTTTTAAAAAAGAAAATTGGAATGACTGGAGGTAAAATCAGTACCCAGAATGGCAATGGATAAAATTATGAATCAGTCCTACTTTATTCCTTCAATTGAATAGAAAATACTCAATTAGCAACTATCTACTGAGTATTTACTACCTGAACTCAGCACTGCAAACTATTGTGAAATATAAGAGAAAGCATAAACTATAATACTAGCCTTCAAATTTATAATTTTGTTGGGGACAAAAGATTAACATGCACAAATAAATGAAAATGAGTTAAAAACTGTTATAATCAAGTGCTTAATGATGTGGCACAAATTCTAAATGAAGCAGGAGTTTAAGAAAAGTAAAATTTCTGGAAGCAAATGTTGCCCAAGGAAAATTAATGAC